TTTGCGCCCTCATCGGAGGCAGGAGACGGCAGGCCCTGAGAAACTAACCAGGTGGGGTCTCTGCAGGGCAACTCGGGGCCTTCTTTTGGGGGCCAACACTCCTCCTCCTCCTCTCCCTCTCCTCCTGGCAGGGGGGGGTTCGGGGTGGTGTCGGCAAAAGACACAGTCCTAACTGTAAGGCCGGCCACAAAACCCACAACTGCTTGAACGTCCGTATACATTTGCTTATACGTCGTGCTAGTGCCAACAGGTCGAGGGGCGAGGTCACCCCCTTCTCGGGCCGCTTCGCCCGCCTCTTTATTCCATCGGGCGAGGAGGCTCACTCTGGGGTCATCCGAATTCAAGTGCTGGTGAGCCCTGCTAGGCCAGGAAAACTATCATCTAGGACGTTCCAATTCTGAGTCCAAACATCTGCATGCGAGCGAACTCCTTTGGTGCACCAGGCTCGGCCTCTCCTGAGGCCTCGAAACAAGGTACCATTATCAATCCCCACTGTGAGCGGGAGAGTGGCGAACTGCAACAGGTGTGCGAAGCCCAACAGCTCACACCGCAGGACAGAGAGGGTTCCTCGCGCGCCAGCAGGGCATCCACATTGCGAGAAATCGACGACGAACGGCGACTCTCTCACGAACGAGAAACCCCAACCGAATTTCTTGCATCCTGGATGCCCTACTCCCGATCCGTCGGAGAAGGCGAAGCCACTGTACAGGCCTGGCACTCCTGTTCGGGTTTGGATTCGCTCGAACTGAAAATCTGAGATGGGATCCGCCACAGGATGGTCTACGATGCCTCGGGCAAAAAGTGGCGTTCCCTCCGTGGCCCCGGTGGCCCTGCGAATGATTTCAGCGTTATCTTCGGCAATATCTTTGCGCTGCTGGTCGAGCGCACTGCATCTGCAGAACCTGCGTTGCTGAGTGCCGATCACACTGCCGCACGCTGGGCAATTTCGCAGGTCTGTCTCTCCTCTTCGCCATCGCACATACTGCGTGCAGAAGGCGGCGCACAGGTAGCTCTCGATTGCGCCTCTTCGCCTCGGGCAGTAGCGCTGAGCCTTCTGGCGGAGGAGGGCGCGCACTGGTTCCAGAAAAGGTCGTGAAACTCCAAGTAGCTCATGCTTCTCGGCCCGCTCCTCCATGGCGACCTGCTCGAGCCTGGCTAGCGCGAGCGCTTTGATCGTGGAGGGTGGTGCGATCCTCATGTTCACATGATGGCGGTGCGTCATGATGATGCGTGGGGCTGGCCAGGTCCATCGAAGCCTGCCCAGGGATCCATAGAGCGCGGTGGCAGGGCCCCTGACCTGCGTCCAGTCGAACATGCGGCGGGGGGCCTGCCTAGCTGCTGCTAGGCGAACTGCCCTTCGCCATCCTGCTCCGGGCTTGGCGTAGTCGGCCCCTGAAGCCCAGATAACCGTAGCCCACTTGCCCATCGGGGCGAGGGTGGCCTGCACTATCGGGCCGGCTAAGTGAGGCCAGAGCCGCAAGGCTCTGTCCTTGCCCATGGGCTCGCCGCCGAGGCCGCTGGACATGAGGATGCGGGCCGCGTTGAGGATCGCGGCGGGGGCCCCGAAGCTGGCCGAGGTGCAGAACGTGCTGGGGGGGCAGGCCGCTCTTGACCACTGCCTTGGTGGTGGCCCCGCTGGCTTTTAGGCCGAGCAGCTTCCTCTTCCTGCCCCAAGCCTTGCGGATTCTCGAGCCAGCCTTCCTCCGTGATCCCCCCCCCCCCCGCAGTGTCCACTCCGAGCTGCCCCCCTGCGGCTTTGACTTGGTAGCCGAAGTAGTTGGCCATGGCCCCGCAGGTGTGGCGCAGCTCCTTGTCGGCTGCGATGAAATAGCTCTTGCCTGGCTTGGTCCCGCAGTTGCGCGAGATGGGTGTGCCGAGGTCCCCCATCGATCTGGTTGATGTTGTACTGGGTGCTAGCGCAAATGTCCTCGCGTACTTCTTGGCGCCCTCCATCTCGCTGCATCTGGTGGTCGTCCACGTACAAAAACTGTCGTACACGTGGCCGTTGTAGGCGGATCTTGTCGCATACTGGAATGATGACCATCTTCAGCGCTCTGGTGCCACCACAGGAGCCCGCATTCACGGCCGCGTAGGTGACAGCGCAGAATGGGGACACAATCTTCTGTCACAGGATCCATCTGGGCCCCGTGCACATTGGTATGAAAAGGCGTATCATCTGTCGCGGGAAGTCGAGATCGGGGCCGGTGTCCCACAGGAGGTAGGCGCTGATGTGCTCGAAGGCCTTCTCCAGGTCGGACACGGCGCTGAGGGAAACAACATTGTCGGGTAGGCCTTCCTCAGCTAGCGCCTGGGTCCACATGGCGTTCTCTGCTCCTCCCGCCCTGGCTGCCCAATCGTAGTCCCGCGAAATAGTTGCTGCCCATTGCATGTAGATGCCCGCATGCAGTCCCTCGGTGGTCCGCATGGTGGTGGTCATGAGCCCAATAGGCCTAGTATCGGTAGCGTTATTATCCAGAAGGAAGTAGAGGATGTGCTGCAC